CTAATCTCAAAAACTATGCATTGCACTTTGTGCAGATTTTGCCTACATCGTCTAAAATTTGCATGTAAATTTATTTTTACTTGCTTTGATGGGACCCCGACGGGTCTTTAATAAAATAATTGAATTGAATTGAATTGAATCAACTCAAGGTACGCTATCAGCAAACTTTTTTATGCATTTTATTTCCGCATTTTCCAATTTAAACTATAGTATGTCCTATAATACTTCTAGGACAACAGGCTTCTTGTGCGTCCACCGGCTAGGTTGGTGGCGTTCATGCAGCCTGTCAGTGACGCTTATGTATATTATGACAAGGAGAAGATGAATGAGAATGCGTGAGCAACATCTAAGCAAGTCTTTGATGACGCGTGGAAGGATGAAAGACAGGAGAATAGGAACCCCAAATAACTTAATGCATACCGCTGTTTCTCACAGTATTCTATTACCGGTAAAATACGAGTTAAATGCACTTACTTCCATTTGAACATTCTGATTGGCGTCTGGCATCCGTAAATAGTTCAATGTTAAGCAGTCATTTTTTTCTTTCATCCTGTGACGTGGTTCTTCATACTTGATTTTCCTTTTACATTCATCTGAACTGTTCTCATTATTTCAATAGTAGTGAAAATCCGATTCCCAGGTGGCATATCAAAAGAAGAGTGGGCGTTCACCGGGAGGGGTTTATTTGAAATGCGACGTTTCGGGTAGTTTACTCGTCTACCCATCTTCAGGGACTGGGAGGTCCTGTGCACAGCACTCCTTATAATGGCGCCCTTTGTCCAATGCGTGATCCGCCAATGCCGCCTGTGTGGCTGCATCCAACCCGCATGTCACCGTGACCTGAATCGCCCCCGTCGGCCGCGGTGATGACTGACGGCCCCGATTGTCCCGCGCCGTGACTGTCCCCCGCTAAGAAGGTTCGTAAAGTCAGATAAGGGGGAGGCAAATTGATGTAGCGGTTGACAGAGCGGTCGGTGGACATCCAGGCTTCTTGCACTTGCCTTGCTGTGTGATCGCTGCCCCGGCCCACAATCTCAACGGCGTCAAAGTTGAAGATGTGTCCCATTTGCGCGGCATGGGTTGCTACCTCCGACTTTGGGTCCAACCTTCGCACGGCCAACTTATGCTCGTGCATTCGCGTTTGCAGCCGTCGGCCGGTTTCCCCAACGTAGTTGCAACTTCCGCAGCTGCATTGAAGTCGGTAGACAACGGCCGACATCTCCTGCTTAGGGATGGGATCTTTCGGCCGCATCACTTGCCGGCGGATTGTCGAGTCAGGCCTGTGGGCAACACCTATTCCGAGTGGCGCGAGTGATCGAGCCACGACTTCGGAGACCCCTTTAATGTACGGAATGCTCCGCCACGAGTTTGGCTGACTATGCCCCTCGTTCCGTTTCTTTGGCTGCCTCCGGCTTCGTTCAATGAATGCTCGCGGATAGCCATTGGCTCTGAAAAGTTCTCGGAGGAGCTTTATCTCATTCAGTTTGGCGGCTGGCGTGCTGCAATGCGTTTCCACCCGTCGGTACAGCGTGCGGACACTGCTTCGTTTGTGTTGTGGCGGGTGGTTGCTGTTGTAGCTGAGAATTTGCAGCGTGTTCGTCAGTTTTCTGTAGACCGACGTCGCTAGTTCGCCATTTGGTTGGCGGCAGATGAGAACATCCAAGAATGGAAGTTTGTCCTCGACTTCCTCTTCCATCGTGAACTGTAGATCGGGCATGATTGAGTTCAGTACTTCCGCATAGTAGTTGATTTTATCCTGGTCTATGAGTACGAAGGTGTCATCAACGTAGCGTGCCCAAAACTTGGGCTTGTACTCCTCGAATAGTCGTCTCTCGAGTTTTTGTAGAACCGCCTCGACAATGAGTCCGGAGATTGGTGAACCCATTGAAGTGCCCTTGATCTCCTCGTATGTGGTCCCTTCGAAGGTAAAGAATGTCTTAAGGCAGTACCCCATGAGTTCCATGAGATCCTGAGCTGTGGGCTGGCCATCGCCCCGTCGTAATTTTGACGTAGCAGATCACTGAGCGTTTCGACCGCAAGGGCCTGTGGTATGGACGTGAAGAGTGAGACGACGTCAAAAGACACCATCCTTTCATTCGGTTCGATCGTGACTGCCCTTATTTTGCCAAGGAATTGTTCTGTTGAGTGCACCGTTGTTTGTGAGCCTGCAGTTAGGAATCTTAGCTTCTGAAATAGCCAGCTTGCAAGCCCGTATGTGGGTGTGCCTCGGAGCGAGACGATAGGACGGAGGGGAACATCTGGCTTGTGTACTTTTGGGAGACCATAGAATCTCGCCAAAGCGGTTTCTGTGGGCTTTGTCATATACCAATCTTTGACGGTGATGACCTTGTCCTTTTTCAGTCGAGCCAGAATTCTGTTAACTTTTGCCACTAGGGACTTTAGACTGGCGGCGTCGCTGACTTTGTAGGACTCTCGATCGTTGAGGAGCAGGAGGGCTTTGCGTCGGTAGTCCACTCTTCTTTTGTTCTCATTATTCACTGATTTGCCTCTCTGGTTACTCACCTGGGTGGCATGCTTTCATTGATCCTTTAAACGAGTTTCCCTACCATTCTGAGATCTGGAGACTTTAACTGCAAATTGTTTATCCAGAGTTGCTATCTTCAACCCCTTCGAGCAAACGCTTTACCCATTGTGCACAAACTGAGAAGCTATTGGTCAGAAAACATATATATAAGCATGATAGCGCCCCGATGCGCACTAAGAAACGAAATCTCATATTCGCGCGATGTCAATTTCGGTAATGTTCTATTTTGTTTTTTAATTTTCACTCTGAAGAGTACGGCTGGCTATCACATGCTTTTAAAAAGTTTACGGAAAAGTATTACTAGTACAACGTGGATACGCCATAGAGCATGTGTTTGATAGTTTTTTATAAGTCATCTGCGCGTATTTTTATATGGACTACTTTCACGCCCTGATATGAATTATCTTATCTGTTATCCCACGACGTTTTGCGTCCAAGTCGTTAGATATGTCTGCCTGCGTCCGAATTGCATGACGTGAATTTGCATAGAAGACAAAGCAATTGCAGAGGGCTTAAGTTAAACTCTCTTAACCTTAAAATTTAATGTGAAACTGCACTGCCGACTGTGGAAACAAATAGCAAGGTATAATGCAATTGCGCTGACATGTGTGTTTTTTTACCGCGCAGTATGAGTTGAAAATAAGGCTTCTTCTGGTTTGTAAGAAGTTTTTTTAATTTGCTGTATCGCCAGTGTCCCCTGCCAGCACCAGCCCCCTCTGGCCTCCTCATAGCCCCGCCTCATTAGGGGGCCGATGGCGATCGCCATCTCGGGAAATGTGAGGAAGAAATACATACTATGCTGTTTGCGGAGCAATATACGGTGAAAATTTCGCAACATCTAAAGACACTTATCTATGATGGTAACAAAGGCATTAGAAAGTAAGGCAATAATTTGGACTGTGGAACCTGAGTGTGAAATTCAGAATCGCTTGTTTGCATTCGTTTCGGAGTCGATTCTGCATCCATTTATACCATTGAAAGCCTTTTGCTTCCGAAACGTGCGTCCTGTAACCCCTTTCTTCTTTTGGCAGAAGTTAGCATCCTCTCTTAATTTTTGCTCTTGACCGCATATTTTGCGTCAATTAAATAAATAGATTTTTGAGGAAACAGACGATACAGACCACGTAAGGTGTGGCTAGAAAATGTCATATTTCAAAGTGGTGAAATGGTCGTGGTCGTATCTACGTTATAGCGTAACACGATCAAAGTGATTTATATGCACAAATGTACCAGCGATGGGTGCCAGTGGGCGAAAAATGCTTACTAGTTAGGTCTTTTTGAGGTACATAGCTTTTAAAAATTTTCCTTGAACTTCATTCCATGTTCTTCTTGTGATCATGTTTCTTTCCTTAATGGCTTAGTCATTTATCAAGCACTTTTGGCCTTTGCGATTATTTCATTCTGTACCATGTTCATATAAACTTTCGTATCTTGCAGATTAAGAGAATTGTTGATCCATTTCTTAGAATACCCGCCTAATATATTACAGAGGTTCTTACTTAATGACAGAAATAACGTATCGAAGTAGATTGGTCTTTATTTCCTTTAAAGAGGACCTGTATTTCTATACGTATCTTTAATTTCTATAGACCGACGAATTTCAACAGACCCTGCGACAGCTTCCAGGCCTTCCCGAAGTGCGATTGTTTGTGAAGGCTGCGTTCTACAATCGGGATCAACCTGCTGCTGATGTTCTTGGCCAGCAATGGCTCATGGTGTTTCATTTCATGTCGGAGCAAAATCTTATCAAGCTAGAACTTGTGCCAGTGAGTTTCGATAATGAGCCCGAGGATTACAAATACCTGCACGCTTCAAGACGCCTTCCGGCTGTACTTCTTCCCGACTTCCAACTAGCTGCTTCAACGACCGACGAATTAGAATCTCTTTTGCGCAAGTTTCAACACCCCGACATGAAACTTCCCTTTGAATCGGAGGACGTGGCGACTGCTGAGCTTGCCTTTCTTGATATTTACAAGAGCATGTTCAATTTTGCCCGCAACGGCATGGAACGACCTTTGCTGAATGCTCTCCAACGTCTGGAGGACTACTTACAAAAACGGAACACTCGCTTTCTTTTGGGCGACACGCTCTCATTTGCGGACTGTG